AAACAGGGATATGTTGATGTGCTCTTTCAGCAAATTGTAGAACTTCACCCGTTCGTGAGCCGGGTTCCAGTTGCTCACAATCCAGCAAACTAGTTGACTCTTCTTCGGAATTATGTAGAGGTCGTCTTCCTGTTTTGGAACTACTGTCTCATGAATGGATATATTAGCATCCAGGCGATAATTCATCGTTAGGTTGAAGAGGTTGTTAATACCTGGAATTCTCTGAGAGTTAGATGGTGATTCAAAGTTCATCCAAACCCATTTCTGGAAGGGCGGTCGCACCATTGAAGGCAGATTGGATAGATCATTTCTGATGTCTCTGTGATGAATGAGGAGCCCATGAGCTTTGCTATACACTTTCCTGTCTGTTGTTATCTGGCAATCACTGAAGTTAAACAGAGCAGCGCAGGACTGAAGCTCATGATGCTGGCCAAATATCTCAGACCAGACCAGGACAATAGTCTGCTTACTGTTCACTTTTCTCACAAAGGGTGGAGGAGGTATGAATTTGTTTGAGTATTGCTTGAAATAGAGGTCATAGACCACTAGAAAAATTAACAGAAAAACTGGAAGCAAGACATGAACTCTCCTGAACTTCATGCTTGAACCTGCTTGAAAAAAACAAAATAAAAATCATAACATGTGACAAATTTGAAAAAGTTGATTGATGCATACCATAAAATTCCACCTGTTCATATCTAAAGTGTTTTTCATCAGTATTATGTTCTGCCATGTAATGGATCCAAACATGTCCATAATGTTTGACAATCCATCCTCAGTCTTCACCATATGGTCCTCTTAGTAAATGTTTAATTAATTTGGGGGCGGCCTGTGGCTTAGTGGGCTAAGCCTGTCCTTGAGTAAGGCCCTTGAGTATTTGAGTGTTTTGTAAAACACTGAATACCGTGCATGCCTGTTTGAAATGTGTGTAACAGGTTTATGTCACAGGTTTACCACTTTCATCATTTAAAACAAACTGTCCCCCAAACTCACTTGCAACACAACCAGGTCAAAGTTTAGTAGGCGTCGAGCACGTCTGCGGTGGGGAGATTGCTGGTCATCTTCCACCCCTGTCATCAACTCTGGTTGGAAACTGCAGGTAATAACAGAACAAAGTTAAAACATCATGATGCATGTTCAACAAGTCTGAATCCCAGGTATGGTGTGTATCATAAATTACCCCAGCAATATAGGGTACCCCATTTAAAACTGAGCTACAAAGCAACAATTTCTAATACCTGAAACTTGGAAATAAGCTTAAAGAAACCTTGCTAAGCCAGTTTAACACCAAATTCTGCAATCATAGTATTCTGTGACTCTAGAGACGCTGCTTCACATGTTGCTGGGAATGAACAAGAAACCCTTTACCCTTACATAACGAAATTATTTTAACTTTTTCAAGGCATCAGTATTTGAGTTTCTTATTCGTTGATATTTTTTGTATTTCTTTGTGTTGCCTCAGGAGTTTTGGGGGGAAGAGAACTGCATGTTAAATTAAAATCATCATTCACAAAATATATAGGTGGCTACGAGAATGGGTATTTCTGAGCTGCAATATATGTAGCCAATGTTGCCTCTTTTCATATTTGTTCGCTTTTATGTTATTGATTTATATAACTTCATTTTACATTGTTTGCAGTATATATAAAGGCATATTTCAAAGAAATAAAATGTTTTAAAACATTACAGTTCTGCTTTTCAGTTTCACCATCTTACTCTGATACACATAAATGGCTGCCATCAAAAACTGTGACCCCATTAAAAAAGAGGAAAAACTCAGTAGTCAAAACACTTCAGTGAAATGAACACTTTCATCATACATACCTATTATACTGTAACACAACTATCCATCCATCCATCCATCCATCCATCCATCCATTATCTTCTGCTTATCCGAGGTCGGGTCGCGGGGGCAGCAG